TGCGTCCCCATCCCCGCCCCCAGCCCGTCCTCGGCGGGGCTTTTGGCCGCCAAACCCCCGGCCAACGGCGGCGATTCCCACAGTTCGCTTCATTTGGCCTCTGGGGGCCCGAAGGAGGCGGCTGGGGGGGTGGCGTGCGTCGCCGTCTCGCCCGTCCGCGCGGATCTCGTGGCGTGCGGGACGGAGGACGGGGTGCTTTGCTTTCTCAGCCTGAGCGCCGCCACCGGGCTCGCCGTGTCGGTCTCGATCACCCCTTTTCCCCCGCCGCCGATGAAAGAAAAAGACGCCGGGGGGCTCCTAGGCGGGGCGCTGCCCGTGAGCGTGATCGCCTTTGATGTGAATACCGCCCCCCAACTCGTCGTCGGCTCGCGCGAGGGCGGGCTGGCGTTGTGCGAGGTCCACCACAACAAAGGCCCGACGCTGGTCTTCGCCCACCCGGGCGGGGTGAGCGGGATTGCGTGGGTCCCAGGGAAAGCCGGGGCCTTTTGTACCGCCAGCCCCGCCCGGGACGTTCTTTGGCGATGGCAAACATCGTCCAAAGCGCCGCTGGCGGCGATCCCGCTCGGCGGCGTGGGCGGGATTGCCGGGCTGGCCTGCCTGGACGGCGATCGCGTCGCGCTCGGGCTGGGCCGCGGGGGGCTCGCCGTCTACAACATCGCCTCCGGGGCCTACGAACTCCACGCGGCGGGCGGGGCGGCCCAGCCGGTGCTCTGCGGGCGCGCCGCCCGCCACGACCGCGATCAGCTCGCCTCGGCCGGGGTAGACGGGGTGATTCGGGTGTGGAATGCGCGGACGATGGGGCTTCAATACCGCGTGGAAGTCCCTGGGGCGGAGGCTGTCTATGCCGTGGAGTGGTCGCCCAACGGGAAGTACCTCGTGGCGGGCCTCAGCAGCGGCGAGGTCGCCCACTTCACCGGCGCCACGCAGCGCCCGGGCTGGCGGACGGCGGTCTTTCCCGGGCCGGTCCGCCGGCTGCTTTGGCTGCCCGCCTCGGCGGATTCGACGAGCCTCGTGGTGGCTATTGCCGCCTCGGGCGTGGCCCTGCTGGGGGCGAAAACCGGCCAACTTCTGCATCGCTTCGCCGCCTCGATCGGCCCCATTCAAAGCGTGGATGTGGAGCCGACAAAGGCCCGGAGCCTCGCCGTTGGCTGCGCGGACGGGGCGATCCACAGCTTCCCTCTGCTTCCCCCGCACGACGCCCCGGCCTTGACGCTTCGGGGCCACCGCGACGGGGTGGACGACGTCGCTTTTCACCCGTCGGTCCCGCCGTTTTTGCTGTCCGGGGGGCGGGATTCGACGCTGCGGGTGTGGGAGGTGGGCTCGGGGGATGCCCGCGGGATCGCCGTCCGGGCCCGCGTCCTGCGAGGCCACACCGGGGCGATTACGAGCGTCTGTTGGGCCGGCCTCGCGCCGTATTTGGCCTTGTCCGGCTCGGCCGACCTGACGGTGGGGCTGTGGGATGTGCGGGGGGAAGGGCAGTGCCTGGCGAGGCTGCAGCGCCACGCCGCGGGGATCACCGCGGTCTGCACCCACCCCGAGCGGCCGATGATTGTCTATTCCTTCGCCCGTGATGGCGCGATCGTGGCGTGGGCGCTTTCCCTGCTCGCGCCGGTCTTTCTGAAGGCCACGCTGGAGGCCTTGGACGGCTCCGGGCTGCCGGAGGCGTCGGCGTTGATGAGTTCGGAGCCCCCCGCGGGGCTTCCCGTCGGGGGCGCGCCGCTGGTGAGCCTGCTGAAGGAGCTGGGGCAGGCCGGCGCCAGCGCGATCGATCGGGTTGGGAAGCTGCTGGGGTTTTTTGACTTCCCGCAGGGCGGCGCGGACCTCGTGCAGCTGGCGTCCTACGCGAAAGACCCCTCGGCCTACGCCCCGGACAGCAAAGCCGGCATCGTCCCGCCGGACAAACTCGTCGACGCGCAACGCGCCAAGGCCCGGCAGATGACCGACAAGGCGCACGGCAAGACGGTCAGCGCCGTCGGCGCGGCGTACCGCGCGAAACGGCTGGTCGAATCCGCCCAAGAACTCCTCAAAGTCGGCCTCTTTGAGGACGCCTGCGGGGACTTTATTGAGGCCGAGGCCTGGGATCAGGCCATCGCGGTCGCGCCGATGCTCGGCCGCGCGTTCTGGCGCGGCGTCTGCGCGCGGGCGGCGGCGGCGATGGCGGCCCAGGCCGACCCCCGCGCGGTCGCCTACTACATCCTCGCGGAGGAGAGCGCCAAGGCCGCGCAGGCCCTCC